GTGGCAGAGCAGCATGGTGCTGAGTAAGACCCTCCAGCATTTGTTTCCCCACAGAAGCATCACCTTGAACGGCACTTTGAGCCCTAAATTACCTTCACAAGATCTAAGGAAATAAAAACAAAATGGAACAACTGGTATTACATCAAACTGGCCAGTTTCTGCACAACAGTGGAAACAATGAAATGAAAAGGCATCCTCCAGAATGAAAGGACATATTGATAAGCCATGCATCTTATAGAAGGTGAGTATACACAGTTACAGTTTCGATCTATAACCCCCAAAAGATATAAGTGCTCAGAAGTTGGGCTTTTGGAAGGTGCTGGGTTCATAGGGGTTCTGTACTTATCAAGGGGCTGATCCCTGAAGAGTTCAGAGAAATGCAGCTAGAGGTGAGTCCGCTCAGAACACGCGGGGCCCTGAGCCATGGCCTGGAGGGCTCCATCTTCCTCCTGGCTCCTCTCCTCTCTCTGTGCTTCCTGGCCTCCATGACAGGTGCAGCTTTCCTTCCCCAGACCCTTTTAGGTTTAGAGTCAACAATGGGCTGAATCCTCTAAAACTGTGACCCAGAGCGAACCTCTCCTCTCATAATTGCTGGGTATTACTGAGGTCCAGCCCTGATCTCCTAAAATGAAAGAATGGCAAGCAACTTAAATAAAAGAGTCAGGAGTATGATTCTGGGGGCTCCAGGAATGTCAAACTCTCTGGGAGTAGAGATTTTGGGGGAGTTAAGATGAAGAACTTCTCCAGACAGCCCATACTTATTCCACAGACTTAGGGGTACAGAAAGACAAGGATATGAAATTTCAAATCCTATGAAAATGACCAGGACCCTGAGAAACAAAGGCAGTAAATTTTGGCAATTAAGAGAATTGTTCCATCTCTAAGGTTTGCAGCCTTATGGCTCTGGAACAGGGAGGGTCAGTAGCCCATGGTCAGTAGCCCATGAGGCAGCTGTGGTTATCTTTACTTCAGAACACCGTGCTTTGCTCTTTTCCAACACAGCCAGAAGTCCCTGTGTTTAGGAACTTAACCCTGTAACCCTGTACTGTCTGGTCTCCAACAGGGTATTGGGTCCCAGCAACAAGAAGGTGACTAACATGCAACTCAATAGTAATAATAATAATAATAATAATAATAATAATAATAATAATACCCTCAGTAAAAATCATCAAAGGAACTAAATGCTAAATAGACATATTTTTCAAATAACAAATTCATACAGCTAGTCAATAGGTATTGTAAAAAGCATTCAGTATCACTAATCCCTAGAAAAATGCTTAAGACCATATTAAATACTACTTTACACCTGTTAGAAAGGCAATCTGCAGAAAACAGAAAGGTGACCACGTCGGCAAGGCTGCGGACAAAGTGAAACCCCTTGTCACATTCACGGAGGGACCAGAAATTTTTTATTTTAAAGACAATAACAGGTTGGGGATATAGCTCAGTGGCATAAGCACCTGCCTGTCAAGCTCAATGTCATGAGTTCAATCCCTGATACCGCAAAAAAAAAAAAAAAGACAATAAGAAAAACAAAAAAAATACAGAATTTCAAAACAAGATAGGAAATTAACAATAGTTATTACATTACATATCGTTATCCTCAAAATAGTTGCTCAGATTACAAGATACAGGCATGTAAGATTGATTAAACAATATAAAGACTAACTGTTCATTTCAATGAACTAATAGAAATTAGTAGTACAATTATCTTAGCTATCATACATAAATGTACATATCTTTTTTCCCTTTCCTTCCCCCCACCCCCAGTTTTTCTTTCCTTTTGATTACTTTCCCTTTCACAATATCTGTTGTACCTTTTGGACCTTACTTACTCTTTCAGTTTCTTATACTAGGGAAACAATACAATGTTTACACATGCTAGTCTGTTTTATTTCACTTATGAGTATGATCTCTAGTTACACCCATTTACCTATAAAAGTGTCAAGTTTATCTTTCTTGATAGCTAAGTAATATTCCATTCCTTGGTTGATGGGCTTTTTTATCCATTCCTTTGGGTTATTTGGGTTATTTGGGTTATTTCCAAGATTTAGCTATTAGAAATTGTGCTGTTATAATCATGGGTGCACGTATATCACTGTGGTATGATGTTTTCAATTTTTCTGGGAAAATACACGGAAAGGGAATAGCTGAGTCAATTGGGACCTCTTAGTCTTAGTTTTTTGAGGAATCTCCACTGTGATTTCCACAGCAGTTGCACCAGTCTACACTCCCACCAACAGTGGAAGTTTCCTTTTTCCCCACCCCACCAGCATTTGTTATTGGTTGATTTCTTGATGATAGCCATTCCTTCTGGTGTGAGATGGAATATCAGTGTGTTTTTAATTTGCATTTCTCAGATGACCAACGATGTTGAATATTTTTTCATGTATTTATTTAGGGGCCATAGTTTTGTATGTCTCACTGCCACAGCTCTGATTTGAATTCGATCTTCCCACCAGTCTGAACCACCTGTGGTACCTGCGTAATCACCTAAACAAATGGCTATGCTGTGGCTGCAAAAAAAAAACAAAAAAAAAAAAACAAAAAAGAAAAACAAATGTGCTATGATGTTTTGTACACTCTACCCAAATCAGCTGCTTTTATGTATAAAATATTTCAAAGATACTCACAAATACAAATAAATTTATTTTAATTTTATGAAATAAATAATATGTTAATTATTGCAATAATTTTAATTGATATGAGCATATTAATTAATTTTTATATTTGAATAGTAATTATACAAATTCAAGCAACTAACTAGACTCAGTCCACTTACAGACTTTTTTTAATTGTGTTAGTAAAAACACCAATACAATTGCTTAGATCTGCTTAGACCACCAGGGATGGGCTAGTCGTGCACATACTGTGGGGTATTTAAACTGGTAGGAATGTGGTATCCCACTGACAGAAATGCAAATTAGTACAATTTTTATAAACATTATTTATATTTCTCAAAAAAATTAAAAGTAGAATAAGCATATGGTCAACAATTCCATGTCTGGTATATATACAAAGGAAATTAAACTAGTATCTCAGAGAGATACCTTGTATTCTCTTCTTTATTGCAACTTATCCATATTACCTAATATATAGAAACAACTTTACATTGCCTCATAGTGTTATAGGTTCTATATAAATACAATGTGATATTAGCATTTTCTGTTTTTTAAGACACATATATACATATATATATAAATATTATTAAATTGTTAAATTTTTGCTTCAGTTTGAACTTATAAAATGATATATCACATACAGCTCCATGAAACTTGGTCTTTAAAAAATTTCACCCAACATATTTCTAAATTTTACCTTTATTTTTCTGTGTAATTTTTCATTCACTTTCAGCTAAGTATAATATTTTGTTATACAAACAGAGAAATTTATTTTTACTGTGTCTGGTCAAAGAGCACTTCATTTGGATCTAGTTATTTTCGCAATTATGAAAAAAATAATGTATGGTATAAATGGAATAGCCAGGCCAACACACCATTTATAGAAATGGCAATGAAAATACATACCTAGGATTAAATTTAACAACCATTTGAAAACCTTTATATAGACAAAATAGTATTGAGCCAAATAATGTGATAGTTCTAATTTTTATTTTTTCAAAAGTCTCCAAATTACAAATAAAGTACAAAATAAAAGACAGATAATAGAAAGTGGGGAGACTGATCTTTTTCTGACAGGAGGGGAGCAGGAGATGGAGGGGGAAGGAGGGGAAGAAAGAGGATGAAAAATGAAGTAAAACGTTATGTACATGCATCAAGTGCACACAAGGAATGGAAGTATTATGTGTTGCAGACATGCACTCATAAAAAATTATAGATTACTATATTAGTTTTCATACGGGCTTCATTTACTAATTTATATACTTTCCAACAGTATTTTTTTTTTCCAGTACCAGGAATCAAACTCATGACCTTGCACTTGCCAGGCAGGCACTGTGTCGCTGA